TACTCACTTCTTCATCCTATAACAAATGTCATAAAAAATGAGGCAGCATTGTGCAACCATATTAAGTTGGAAATCCAGGAAACAAATCCATAATATTAAAGGATGGGAACTCTTTATTGGTTGCATTCCCCTGAGATGAAAGTCTGTAAATGCAGCACAGAAAAAATTTTAAGTATAAAAATATGTTATTGCACTGCATAAAATATAGTTTCTATACTCTTGTAATTTTACAATTCCCCAAATTAAATTTTTAATATTTGGGGATCCATTAAAATATTCCAGATGGTACATGGCCACTTTTTAATTTCTACTTAAGCAGCTTCAGAGACTTCAGGATCTATGACTTGCACAAATGATTTAACATGATGGCATATATGGGAGGTGACCATGGCTATTCCCATTATTAAGATAAGACACCAGAGATCTTAGCCTGGGCACTGGGATATCTAAAATTGTTCACAGTTTGGTGTCTTTGTCAGGAATATGGGTGGAGTGGAGTTAAGCATTTGACAGGGCTATAGCAATGGTGTGTGGGTGCAGCTGCAGGTGCTTTAACAAAAACACATTATCAGCCCCCGGCATTACCAGGGCTCCCTCAGTGTTTTTAGCCAGGGGACCAGTGTTTCCATAAATTTTAGTTGCTCAGCCTCTGTCCCCTTAAAGGTTTATTCAGGACCCAGTAGAGGAGGGCAAGGGCCAGTGGGTAAGTGAACATGGTGACGACTCTGTCTATAACCAGGTTATTCAACAAAAATAAATAAGTACAAATTAAGTTCCTATGAGTTTCAAAGTTATTCATATCCAACACCAATCCTATCACCATGTCAATTTCTCTCCACCAATGTCCCCAGTTTCCCTCCCATATCCCAGGTCTGCATCCTTGAGAGGCACATGTTTAAGTCTGATTGTTGTAGTTTAGATCGTATACTTTTAGATCTAATGATTCTGTGGTTCAGATATGTAAATATATATAAAACAACTCTACACTTCCAAAAGTTATTGTTACCAAATAGGGTGGGAAATAGAAGCAACTAAGCAGTTTCCCACTAATTTCATGTTCTTTGATAGAAAGTATTTTGTCTTCATATATGTTGTGGACTCTAGATTAAATCCACATATTTAGATCCTTGTGGTTAATAAAGATTCTAATAATTTACCTCTCGTGACTGACAAATGCGCAAACTGTAACAAAGGTTTCTATTATTTAATTTAACTCCTGGGGTGATAGCACAGAGGGTAGGCCATTTGTCTTGCATGAGGCTGACTCAGGTTCAATTCCTCCATCCCTCTAGGAGAGCCTGGCAAGCTACCGAGAGTATCCTGCTTGCACCGTAGAGCCTGACAAGCTCCCTGTGGCGTATTTGATATGCCAAAAACAATAACAACGTGTCTCATAATAGAGATGTTACTGGTGCCCGCTCAAGCAAATGAATGAACAATGGGAGGACAGTGCTACAGTGCTACACTTCTAATATGTCATATTCCTACCTCTTGCATTGTAAAAGAGACTGTCTGCCTCCCCTTTAGTTTTCTAGCCTTCACTTTACTTACCTTTAAAACTATTTTTAGCTGCTGTAACAGTAATTTGCATGCATATTAACAGTTTGGGCAAGAGTCCTGTGTGAGAGGAAAAGAGCAAAATTCAAAGAATGAGAAATGTAAATTGAAAACAATAAACAGACCTTTTAAAAATATGCAAGACAGGCTTCTCTGCCTTTGGGGAAGCAGGTGCTCTCTTGAGCGCATCACTGTACTCTCTCCCACTTTCTCTCCCTACTTCCCCTTCCTAAAAACCTCCAAAATAAAATCTGTTTTTATTAAAAATGCAAGACAGTTCAAAGTAGTATAGTATTACAATAGAATTTCACAAAGTCCATTTCAATTGAATTGGGGGCTGAGAAATGAAATTTCAGGTGCATGGATAATCAATTTAAAGCACTGAATCCACAGTAATAAATGGAGAAAGTATCCTAGACAAATAATATAAGAATACAAGATCCCACCTGCAAAATAATTTAAGTGTAGCACTATATTACATCTTGTAAATCAGTTGACCAAAAATGGATTTATATGGTTGTCAAATCCCAAAACATTAAATATATTAAAGACCATAAAAGAAACAAACACAAAACATGTTGTGTTATTAATGTTTGTAGTATCTGTGAGTCCAAAATACGTGGGTTCACTGCAGCCCAAAATAACGGGCAAATGAAGGAGGGAATGGGGGCCACACTGGTTGGTGATCAGCCACTGTTTACTCCAGTCTCCATCCTTCTATTCCCTTCTCACACTGCCCCCCATTCCATTCTCAGCGCTAGTATATAATAATCCTGAAGGATTGGAGTAGCAATTACCCATAAGTGTAGGTGCGGTTGTACAAACAAAAGATGTAAAGCCCTCTCCTCGGAGGATGCTTTTTCTAGAACAAAATATCATCCTTTTAGGAGATCCATCCAAAGGTAGAATTCCATCTAAGAGTTTATTTCTCCTTTTCTTAGTGGATATCAATTTAAACAGTCATCTTAAATTTACTTCTTAATAATATTTCTAGTCATTTTGTATGCACCCAATAAGACAATAAGAGACATATTAAGCTTAAAGGGTAGCTATCCTGGTGACATCTTGCTATATATCCTTGAGATATATATATATATATATATATATATATATATATATATATAGTCGATCACGACCATCTTGTTGTTTGTCGATTGCCTCGAGCAGGACCCAGTAACGTCTCCTTCATCCTAGCCCTGAGAATTTTTTAAAAAGTGCCATATTCAAGGCTTTTTCAGGGTTAGGAGAATGACACCCATAATTGTTACTGGTATTTCGCATATTGGGTAAGCCACGGGGAGTTTGCCAGACTCTGCCGATATATATCAGACTACAGTCCTCTGGCCAGGTTAGTTTTTTCTAACATCAGCAGGGTCCTCATCCAGTTACTTCTTTTTTGGTCATGATTGCTCTTAACTTATTTTAAGTTTTACGGTTCTTGGCCTGTATCTTTTCAATGCCAAATTAGCTTACAACTTGTGCCTTGCCAATGCCTTGGTAATTTATGGCTATCCCTGGGTCCATCCAAGTCCCTCCTTGGAACCCTCCTTTTGGGGTATTAGGAACTAAGAGAAACTGAGGCTTAAGGCAAGTAAATATAACAGATGCCCAGGAGTAAATATTATTCAGGGTCAATTAATTCCCAAGTTACAAAAGCATAGTGTCAGCTGTCTTCCTGTGTCTATACAAAAATTATTGCTCTAAAGTAAACGTTACAAAGTACATCAAGGAAAGGAAAAAACAATAGTACACTTGCATATACAAAATCCAGAATCTTTAGAAGAATCTGACTATATAAGTCACAGTGTCTGATTTGGGGATATAAGTTGATTAATGGATACGGGAAGCTGAGTACAAAGGAGAAGTTAAAGATAAACAGAGCAATGGGAGTGACTTGGGAGCACTGTGATGGCTGTTATTCAATAAACTCCTTGCAGTGGAGGAGAAAGGACAAAGCAATGTTATCCAACACTATCTTCAATGGCATTACTTTAATAGCAAGAAAAATAAAAGCAAATTACAACAAACTAAAACGCTTCTCAACAGTGAAAGAAACTATGATTAAAACAAAAAGACATCAACTGAATGTGTAAAAAATATTTGCAGACAATATATCTAACAGATGATTAATATTTAGGATTTATAAGAACTTCCAAAACTGGACAATAAGACAAGCCCATGAAAAACGTAGAGAAGAGCTTGGTAATCAGTTTTACAAAGGAATGCAGTTACATGAAAATTTGTTCATCATCACTTATTATCAGTAAACGAATACAAATTAACCCATCCTTTGTGGGAAGTCGTATGGAAATTCTTTCAACAATTGAAAACAACTACCATATGATTCAGTAATTTTATCCCTAGGTATCTATCTCAAAAAACAAAAGACACTCAAAACAATTCATGCACAATTTCTTTATTGTAGTGCTATTTCAATAACGTCATCTGGAAATCATTGAGGTGCCCAGTAACATATATGTAGATAAGAATATCACTTGGCTATAAGAAGAGGAGAAATGCCACATTTGTTATAGCGTAATTTAACTGGAGAAACTCATGTTAAGCAATAGAAGTCAGAAAGAGAAAGGCAGCTACGGGATGACTTTACTTATTAATTGGTTCATAAAGAAACAAAACATGCAGACACAATGTCAACTAAAACAAACCCTTAGGCTCTGCAAAAAGGATCCGATGATGTGTGTGGAGGGATACTTGCAGTTTCTCTTCCTTCTTTCCTTCCTTCCTTCCTTCTTTCCTTCCTTCCTTCCTTCCTTCCTTCCTTCCTTCCTTCCTTCCTTCCTTCCTTCCTTCCTTCCTTCCTTCCTTCCTTCCTTCTCTATCTCTTCCTCTCTTCCTCTTTTTCTCTCTTTCTTTCTTCCTTTCGTCACACCTGAAGATGCACGGGGGTTACTCCTGGCTTTGCACTCAAGAATAACTCCTGGCGGTGCTCAGGGGGCCATATGGGATTCTGGGAATGGATTCTGGGTTGGCCACGTGCAATAAAATCATCCTACCCATTGTACTATCACTCCAGCCCTGACACTTGAATTTTAGGGATTGCACCTTTTAACTGTAATATATGTAAAAAATGTAAACGGTAAGGCAATGCTATTTCAACAGAAACAAATTATAACATAAATCTTTTACAAGTACCCTGACCTTATTTTAAAATTTCCTCTTTCCTTTATACAAAAACCAGTTATTAACTTATTTTTGCTTTAGGGCTGGAGTGATAGCACAGCGGTAGGGCGTTTGCCTTGCACGCAGCCAACATGGCCAACCCGAGTTTGATTCCTCCGCCCTCTCAGAGAGCCCAGCAAGCTACCGAGAGTATCTCGCCCTCACGGCAGAGCCTGGCAAGCTCCCCGTGATGTATTCGATATGCCAGACACAGTAACAACAAAGTCTCCAATGGAGACGTTACTGGGCCCGCTTGAGCAAATCGATGATCAACGAGAGGGCCTTTACTTTACTTACTTTGCTTTAGTATTGGATATTGGCCTATATTAATAAATTAAAGATATAAATTTTAGTATTCCATATTTGTAGAATTAATTAGCTTTATTTTAAAGCTAATTTGTACTTGTTAATAAAAATTACATGTGCAACAAACAGAAATACAGATATATTTAGTGAAGTAAAATCTTAAAATAATCCAGTGAAGATCAAACCTGCAAATTATTTAATATGCACATAATTAATTGCCAAACTTTTTATTGTAAAATTTAAACCTATTCTAGCTATTTAGTTTTGAAGTGCTAGGTACATTAAGTGAAAGATGTGAGAAATCAATATTATCCTTCTGGCATTTTTGTTTTAGCTACATGTTCGCTTTCTTACTCAGTATGTAAGAGCTACTGATATTTTGCCTTGATCTATAGAAAAATAAATATTCTATAAAGACAAATCTATTAATTAGAGAGCTTCACATCTTTCCTTTTTGTTAGTGTAATCTTTAAATTGATTTTCCCAATCCACCATGTAATTGTTCCAGCGATGAAATCCTGCTTTCCACTCTCGTTCTGCTTGATCAATGTTTCCTATAAAACATGGAACACATTTAATTAATCTAATTTTTAACCTGTTTACATAAATTGAAAAATTACTTTGATTACAGATGTCATTTTCTTCAAGAGCAATGTCCCCAAATTTTTAATTATACTTTTTATCAGTTTATTTTGCTGTCTGAAGACATTTAATAAATTTTTCAATCATTATATGAAAATGTGAATATTTATGTGAATACTTAATAGAATATGTAAACAGAAAAATCAAAATTAAGTGCAGGCATTGTATTGTCAAATTATTTTAACATTACATATAAATGCTACGTTACTTTTGTGACACATATTCACAGCTAAAATCTTATTTAATGAATATAATTTACATAATAGCTGAATATTACTAATGATGAAAATATCCACATGCAAAATCTCATTAAGACACCAAAAGATTGTGATTATCTTTCTATATAGATGCTACACTTTCCCTATACTAATATTTTTAATGCAAAGTAATGCTTATCAATTTAAGTAGTATTATGGATTTGTCATGGGAGAAGAGTTTATATATCAGGAACAATGTAAGGCAATGAACCATAAAAGTCTATGTAATATAAAAATCTTCACATATTAAATAATATAAAAGTGTATTTTACTAAAACTGAAATTTTGGAACAGTATGAAATCTTAAATTATCACCTTTTAAAACATATATTCATATTTCTAATATAAATACATATGATGAGGACAAAGTGGTTTAAAGTATTTAAATCTATAACTATGTAATTGATTGGTACTTTAAATTGAATACTTTAAAATTTTGAAATAGTGTTTATCTAAGAGCAAAATATTAACTTATTCCAAGTACATAAGTTGTATGCTGACAATTTGCAATATAACACTCCATTTGTAATGTTTAAAATTAATTTTAAGTTTGTAACATATTAATTTGAAGAGAATTGTATTATTTTTACTTTTTATATGACATATGTAGATATACTTATATTTGAGAAAGGATCCATTTTTTTAATTTATACTATTAAGAGAAGAGCATATTCAGTGTGTAATTTTTATAATATATAAAATTACAATTTTTGTACAGTCATCAAAATAATACCTGTATTTTTAAAAAAATTTTTATTAGTGAGATACCATGAGGTACAGTTGTAGACTTTCTAATTTTTGTGCTTGGGTTTCAGTTATACAATGATTGAATACCCATCCCTCCACCAGTACCCATTCTCTACGATCACCAGTTCCAGTATCCCTCCAACTCCCCTTCCCCCATCCCACCATACCACTGTGGCAGGGCATTCCCTTTTGTTATCTCTCTCCTTTTGAGTGCTGTGGTTTGCAAAAGAGACATTGAGTGGCAATCTTCTTAGGAGTATAGTCTACTCTCGTCACGCATTTCCCATCCTGAGTGGAATCTCCCAACACCCTTTATTTGGTGCTCCCTTCTCTATCTGAGCTGCCTTTTCCCTTAGCGTGTGCGGCTGTCCTCAAAGCCATGGGGTAATTCTCCTGAATACCTGTAATTTAAGGTTTGCTGGAGCGATAGCACAGCAGGTAGGGCATTCGCCTTACACGCGGCCAACATGGCTGACCCGAGTTCGATTCCTCCGCCCCTCTTGGAGAGCCCGGCAAGCTACCGAGAGTATTCGATATGCCAGACACGGTAACAACAAAGTCTCCAATGGAGACGTTACTGGGCCCGCTCGAGCAAATCGATGATCAACGGGAGGGCCTTTACTTACTTTACTTAGTTCGAGTGTTTTGTTTGGGAGTCATACAGGTATTGCTCATGGCTTACTCCTGTCTCTATGCTCAGGGATCACTCCTAGTGATCATGGGACTATGGGTGTTCATGATACTATGTGTGGTGCCAGGGATCAAACCAGGGTATGCCATGTGAAAGGCTAGCTCTCTACTTGATATATTATTGCTCCAGCGACAATATATACTTGGGTTTTAAATGTATGTGATGATTTGATATTGGAAAAATATTTGAGAATTTATACAAAATATATCTATTTAAGCAAAACTAGTATTATAATCCAATATCTTTAATGATAAAGAATTATTTTAGTAAGCCAAACATTTTTTATGTTGAAAAAGGACTTTAAATATACAAACTATTCATACTCTATGACAGATCGAAATATTGCTTACGTATAAAATCTACTGTCAAGAAAGAAAGGATAATAATTTTTACATAAAAAATTGAAAATTTAAAATTTAGGCCATCCATGAATTTTAGTATTTCCATCAATGGTCCTAGAAATGATTTTCCATACTAATACATGCGATTTTACCAAAATCATTTATTTATATAAAATTTATTTCTCTAAGTGCTTTCTAGTGTAGAAAAATTCTGTAAACACGAATATATTTTTCTAGAATTATTGAACATTGTCATTGTCAGATACAATGACAACTGAAATCATTATTTTCTAACAAAATTCGGAATTGAACACAACATAGTAAAGTTAATAAATATTTGAATCCAGTGATGATATAAACCAATGCCCAAATTAGGAGTTATTCTCCCCTCCTATTTTCCGATTTTTCTCTTTCATTTCAAGTTATTTTCTTAATATCTGTACTAATTATAGTCACATACAACTATTTTATGCAACTTTCAATACCAGAAACATTATAGATGTAGTCACACAATTTAAATGTGCTGCAATATAACAAAGTGGTTATAGAATTATATTTTATTAGAAATAATATATTTAAAAGTTGACAGATAAAAGACAATTTTAGTACTTTGTTTATTCTGTAGTTAATAAGAATAAATTATTTCTTGAAATATACTTTAAACTCTTCCAATAAAACCCACTAAAACTCAAGCAAAACAGGTGTCCTACCTCATAAACTTAAGCACGTGCAAGATTTTTATGAAACAAAATATTTTTAAAGAAGTTAATATATCTTTTTCATGATTTCAGAAGATAGATGAAAATTTTCCTGCTTGACATTGTTTCTCCACATGTTCAGTGATGAACAACTGACCACAAATATAATGATATAGCAATATTTATCACTGTCCTTTAATTATTTCTTAATAATAAGGATAAAAAAATTCTGCATGTACATAAGTAAAAAAATTTCACATTTTCATTGGAAATAGATGCAATAAAATATTTTATTTGATTTAAATTTATACTTATTTTTCACTTATTTTAGTTATCATATTTAATTGAAGGTGTTTTGCATTACATAAGTTTAAGTTAGATTGCATGTGTTTATGTTTCATTAAAAACAGCATGAAAAATCAATTATCTTCCTCACAATATTATTGCTTCTTAACCTGATTTACTGATATCCACCACTGCATCTGAATCTTCAAAATCATCACTTTACTTATTCCTGATGAACCCCCAAGCTCTGTTGGCTTAAAACCAGAAAACGACTGTTGATGTTATGGGGTGTTGCTCCTACTTATCCATTGTACGTGTGTGTGTTTCTGCTTGTTTGTTTTGGAGCCACAGCCTGCAGTTTTCAGGGCTTAGCCCTGGCTGTGTGCAAAGGGATCATCCTTTGTGGGGCTTGGGGGGGCCACATGTGCCGGATGTGGAACTCAGGTTGGTCATGTGCACAGCTATTGCTTTATTGTACTGCTAGTGTGGCTTCACTGTTCACATATTTCAAAAAATATATTGGTTTAAAACTATAAACATTTTTTAAATTTTGCGTTCTTTATGAAAATGTATTTTACATTTTGTAAAAGATAAAAATTAGGCATGAATGAAAAAATTTTATTTATGTCAAATTCTGACAGATTGAAAATTTTTCATGTGGTATGAAAAAAATACAGTGTAGTTCTTATTCTTAAAAAATTAAGGGAAGAATAGTAATTTTCAAAAATAACATGCACACAAAATTATTTACATTATATTGTAAAATACATTAACATTTAATATAATTCAGATTATTGTCCAACTTAAAAGGTGATAGTTCAGTATGACAGTTATTGCTGGAAATGATCACTCTGGACAAGAACTGAGTGTTGAATGTAGGTAAAGGTATATACCTTTCAGCATCTGTATTGAAAACCATAATTGCCTAAAGGAGAGAGAAAGGGGTGAGGGGATCATTGCCAGTCATATGGACGGCCGGGGTAGGAGGGAAACTAGGGACATTGGTGGTAAAGGGAATGGGTGTCGGAACAGTGTATGACTAAAACCCAATCATAAGCAACCTTGTAACTGTGTACCTCACTGTGATTCAATTAAAGTAAAATAAATAAATAAAAAGCGTTAGTTCTCTAACTATAACTATACCTATTTGAGTATATATCTTATTGAGATAAAATTGGCATAGAACATTCCATGACACAATATTTGATATTTGAATATATTTAAAAAATAGATAATGTGTCATTTCACATATTTGCAATCTTTTTCTTGTAATAATAGCACGATTGTTTTCAGCTTCCTCTGCCATACGTTAAAACCAATGAAGTTAAATTGATTTCAGCCATGAAGGATAAATAAGTGAGTTAAGTATTTTGATATGTTTTCTGAATGTAAAACAGAGTCAGTTTTCTCTCTCTCTCTCTCTCTCTCTCTCTCTCTCTCTCTCTCTCTCTCTCTCTCTCTTTCTGTGTGTGTGTGTATCTGTGTGACTGTGTGTCTTTATATAAATGGAGGAAACAGGTTTCCTGTTGGTGATTGACAGAGGAAAGAAAAATAAGTCTGCAAAGCACCTTTTGTGTGATATAAGTTGAGCAGGAATACGTGAAAGCAGTTCAGTGGTGACTGAAAAATTTCTACATAGGACCTGGGCTTCCTTTGAAATATAGCAAAGAATAGTAAGGGTAAGATATGAGGTTGGAAAAGACTTAGAAGATTCTGTGAACAACAAAGAGATCAGGGTAACCTGAACAGTATTGGCAAGGAGAGAGAAATAAAAAGTGAAAGGGAATAAACAGAAAAGTATTGTAAAATAATTCAGAATGTAGTAGGCTATTGTGAGGACTTTGGTTTCTATTCAAACACAAGTGTGAAATAATTAAAGATTTTGTGTAGCAT